TACATATCCAACCAAGTTTTTCTTGTATGTATGCAAAGCTGATAAAGTTAAATCTACAGTGCATGAATACTTAAACTGTTGAAAGCTTGGAAACTCCAGAGTCCATCAGGCTCTAAACATCTTTTCTACATGAGCACAATTAGTTGTATTTTGGGAGAGGAAAAAAAGTAGTAAGAAAAGAATGAAAGCCAGAAACACTCGGACATAGCCTCATTCTTTAACTAGCAAAAACACACTAAAGAAGACAAAACACAAAATGTATCCTGGACCCTATAATCCTACACTTCCCAAGAAAGCAGGCTATGACTTAAAACACATTGCTCCCAAGTCTGACCTGAAAGAGATCTTTGAAGGCTGTTTCTAAATGAACAAATATCTCAATTACTAAATTAACCTAATTTTCACGTGCCTGGTCTTTTACAAACCTGTGACAAAGTTTGGATTCACATTTGAATTGAGAGTTTTGCTGGAACCAGAAGTGGGATTACAAAACCAGAAGTAGGTTTTTAGCTGTAATGCGTCTTTTGCCACTGAATACACTGTGGATGGAAAGAGCTGTAATAAATAGCACAGAATGTTCCAAAGGCTGGTGAGATGAAAAATGTTGGTTTTGGTTTTTTATCCTGCTTGGACTAAGCTTTGTAAGCACAGACAAAAATGTGAGCAAGTCACAGCTGATTCAGATATAAGTAAACTTCAACTCCAAACTGAAATGCAAAGGGGTTCTGTTGAATGCCTTGGTCACTTTTAGTCTCAAGTCTTTGATGGAAAAGCAACAAGAACAGATCACACTAGGACAGATCACACACAAAACTAAGATGCTGTTTGATAATTTTCCTGTAAAATAATTTAAATTTCAGAACTGAAGAAAAAAAATGCAAAAATTCCTGAAAAAGGGTTTAGATAGCTCCAGACTGAAAAAGAGGGGGAGAGGTTGCAAGTTGTCCTACAGCAGTATTTTCAAATATGCTGGAAGCCAAGTCTTCAATATTTGGAAGTTATTTCCAGCTCCCAGACCCTCATTACCTGATAGCAACATCTGAGATGCCACAGATTTCCCAAATCTCTTTAAAAAAGTTTAAAAAAAGAAATTCACCAGGACTTATTTCAAAGACTCAGGCAGACTTACAACAAACAGTGCCTCATCCTGCATTGAGAGTGATATTAAAAAATAAATTTTATATATATATATATAATTTTTATACATCCATAAAAAAAAATCTACATTTACAAGAAAAGACTGGGATTATGTATTTCTGCCTCTGCTTTGCAGTAGTGTTTCTAAAGCAGAACCTGTAACTAGAAGATTAGAGGAGTTATGGAAAAAGTGATCTTTCAATTGAAAAAAAATCCACTGGCTTATTTTAGAAATTATTTAACTGGCAGTTGCTACACTTGGCCTTTTATCTGTTCCACAGTATAAACTCTGACAGTCTAAAACACTCTTTCTTTCACTGCTGGCTAATGAAAGTGTGCATTTTCCAGTGACTGTGTAATTCTGTTTTGGACTGATGTCATGGCTGCCACTCCAGCAGACCCATTAAAAATAAAAAACATATACATCTAGAACTTAAGCTGCTACCCAAACCAGAAACTTTTCATTGCAGAGGCAAGCTACACTGCCTTTTAAATCGATTTTGGTGTATGGCATCTGTTTTACTGAGAAATGTTGTAGATTCTAAAGCATGCACTGTTTTTAAGAGCCTTTAAACTGCAGGAAAAAAATAGAACTGCATGAGAAAAAATGTCTTCTCAGTTTGAATTCACTGTAACACTGGATTAAAAAGTGAGAAGGCCATTGCTTGGAGAAAAAAAAAAAAAAAAAAAGCTGAATTAAGACAAACTGGAACTGAAATACAGGAGAATTCAATGTTCCTTCAAAATAGAATCTCTTGTGGAATGCTGCACCAAGGGGATGAAAGCTTTTAAAAAGTGTCCTTGACAATACTGATCAGAAGACAAGTTGCCAATTAACCATTTTCATGCACAAAACACACATTTTACAGCACATTCCTATTTGAGAAGAGCTGAACCGAAATTATTCAAAGGCATGCTTTGACAAATGCTTAATGAATATGCTTTCTTCCCCCATAACTTAAAAAAACATACCATATACATGAGGGCTTGCACTTTGCCCCAGCAAGGCCAGAGAACAGTTAAATACAGGAGAGCTTTACTTTAGATTTATCAATCACAGAGTCATCAGAATTTCCAAAAAAGGAGATTATATACGTGGTAGTAAAACTGTCATCAAAAGCAGTTGCTAAGAATTCCAGAATAAAAATTCATTAACATTATTTCTGTCAATATCTTGCCCAGACACACAGCAGCCTAGACAACTGTGCTTTGGACTCAGGGGATGGTAGCTAATCAATGTAGCTGTAAATACCAGAAAAATCAGCATAGTTGGGTGGTGGTGAATGCTGTTACCTTCCAAAAGTGTTTCCAGAAGAAGGAGTTTGGGCAGGCACACAACAGTCACTCAGTCCACACACACGCACTGGATGGCTTGTCAGACAAATGGAAGAAGGAAGGGTCTTTGTATGGGGTTCCAATGAGGTTTATCACATCCACATGCCAAGAGGTCCAGGGACAAAGACAAGTGGCAAGGGAGGGTCTGGGATTATATACTGGGAAACAGGGGAGGATCTGAGGGTCAAGGGCCAATGGGAACAGGGAAAAGTGGTGCAGAGGTGGGGTAATAAAACAGGAGAATCAATAGGAGAACAGGGGCAGAGAACTGTGCCAAACTGGGGCAAATGGGAAAACAGGGAAGGGAGAACACTCTAGGGTATGTACAATAAGGTGAACGGGGGGCTGAACTGGGTGACATCAACTATAGACCAATAGGGGAACAAACATTAACATAAATCTGCAAAGACCTATGGGGAAGAGGTCTTCCCTCACCCCAGCCTAGCGAGGCACTATTTGCTGCCTCCTTTCCATGACAGGGGTATAGGGATTCTGGCCATAGGCCCTTGGGCCTCCACAGTTCACTGTCTAGTTTTTCTCAAAATGTAACCCTTGGGCCTCCACAGTTCACTGTCTAGTTTTTCTCAAAATGTAAAGTACATCAGGTCAAGTGAAAGCAAGTGACAGGTTAAAGAAAAATGCAGCAGTCACCTGGAAACAGACAGCTAACAGATCAAGCAGACCACGGACACAACTTCAAGGCAGACTGCTAAGTGTATTGAACATGGAATTCTAATGAACAATCAAAAGAAATAAAGATCGAGATCTTGGAAAAAACAACTCATCTTTGGTTTTGTTAACAAAAACTCAAAATATTTATGGCTGATGTGTATTGTATAAACAAATCAACCTATCTGTAAGTCTACTTCCTAACAAAAGTTTTCTCTCTGTAAGTCTACTTCCTAACAAAAGTTTTCTCAAGTGTTTTGAAACATACCAACCTAATTTGTCTTACATTAAGATATCTTACATATCACTTGATATGGCATTACATTAAGTCCTTGGAAGATGCTGGCTCTGACCTGTTCAATGTAGGAAGGTATTCTGTAGGTATCTGAATTATTCCAAAGGAAAAATTTTACCTTACCTTTACTGATTTTTAAATAGGCCCACAGAAATAAACATACAATAATCAAATTCTCTCCCTACTGCTATAGTCACTAATACAAATACATATTTTGTAGTATAGCTAAAACATTAGGACACCTCCTTGAGCAGGAATATGTCTTCTCATTTTCTTACTAAAAGTTGATATATTATTTTGATTAATTACTTGTCAGGGATTTGCTTGGCTGTTTAACAAAATGAGGGAATGCTTTTTCCGCTATAACTAGAAAAAACAGTTATTCCTTTTCAGCAAATGAATTATGTCTCTGCTTTCCTCTGAAGAACTGGCTTTGGAATGGGTTTAGCCAACACCTTAAAAATAACATGGGCTGGATACTTCTTTTACTCTCTGGGAGGGTCAGTGCTAAGTAAACACTGGAAAGAAAATCTGTCTGTTTTGATGCTCAAAAATAACTAAACTGAAAATATTAAAGAACAGTTTATAAGCTCAAGTAATCTATGTGTAGAATACTGGTAAGTGAGAAGTTTCACCAGGAGGAGAATGTGGGATATGTAATGACAGATGTAGGTAAGAAACTCCTAGACAGAATACATGTTGATAACTATATACATTAACCTGTATAAGTGTAGCTCAAGATTCCCAGTGTTTTGTTCATGTCAAAATTTTACCTGCAAAGTAGATGTAGCAAAATGGTTCTTCTTTTCAATCCACAAGTAGCTCATCATCATTCACAAGCTAACAAAAGGACCACAACTAATTCACTGCTAGAGAACTCCTAACTACTGAATGCTTTTCCTTTTAACAGTGCTGTACCTTTCACCCTAGAAAAAATTAATCTTTTTCCTACACACACCTAGAAGGAGCTGGGTTATTTAGGGTGACATTCAAGCTTTGCCCTTCTGACTATGCACCATGCACATTTTGTGACTCAGGTCTCAGTTCAGAACAAGTGATTACTTCTCCAAGACAAAACATTTTTCTTAAAGTGTATCTTTTCAAGTCTCAGCTGTACTCCCAAAGGCCAAATGGAAACACATGATTCAGCCTGCTCTTAATGTAGAGAGAACTAAAAGGAATTCACTTAAATTTTATAGAAGACTGTCACGAATATTTCAGCAATTTGCATTTGCAGCTGGTAATTAGTAGTTTATTTTCTTTAAAAATTATGAGTCACATTCTGGAAAGAAGACCCTCTGATAGGGGATAGACTAAAAAGCAAAATGAAGCTTTCAAGCAAAGGACAAGATATTTCCAACCTTCTCTTTACTTATGGTGAGGTCTCCTGGGACTAAAAAACACAGCTAGGAAATAGCTGAAGGACACTTACGAAAGGGAAGTAGAAGACTTTGAGTCACTTTTGAGTGCAGTGCATTCAGAACAAAAATGACACTATTTTGTTGATTGTAAGTTAATTGTTTAAAATTAACTTTTAATTATGATCAATATAAATCTTACTTACCACCTGGGTATGAATCATTAGGCTCCAGCCACTCCTGTTTTCTATTCCAAAGCACCTCTCAGAGTGTGGATAGGATGACTTAGGAGCTGACTTCATGGAAACTCATTCAATCAAGGCTGACCCCTAAATCCAAAAGAAGGAACTGGCACAAAGAAAGCAGAGAAAGGGATTTTGAAAATGTAAGTAGACGAAGGTGAACTAATGAACACCATGGAGCAGTATGCTGGTACAGACTCCCTAATGTATATCACAGATGTACTCTCCCCAAAGCTCAAAAACGGGAATGTCCTTTAGCACCTGCTATGGTGACTATTGAGCAGCTATCTATACAGTGTACATTTTAATATACATCCTGTTGCTGTAGATAAATGATAACTTCTCCCCATTCATGTTCTGAGAGCTGATTTATTAAACACCAATGTGTAACATTAGGTGCTCAGGAGTTAGCTCAGTGGAAAAACTGATCAGGTTGTTCCTCTGCCTGCTTGTCCCTCAGCCTGCTGCCAGAATGCAGAGCAGCTGACAAGGGTTCGCACTCTCTTGACAGTAACAGCAATTAAACTGGCATCTAACCCATTCAGATTCTCTGCTCTAGCACTCCATAAGCATTCTTACCTGGATAGAGATTTGGAACATCACAGGGGCCTTTCTCCAGAGGAAGACCAGGCCCATCTACACCACTGGACCTTCAGAAGAAAAATCCACCCTGCTACACAATCACTGCTTCAACAGAACCACATCTGTCACTCCAGGAGGACTGCAGCCACCATTTAATCAGGCTGCAACCAATACTCTGACCAACAGGGTGTCAGGATGTATTCTGAGTCTGTCAGTGGCTTTTTTTTTTTAAATGCATTTTTTTTTTAAATTTCCCTTGTAAAGAACTGTTATTCCTATTCCCATATCTTTGCTTGAGAGCCCTTTAATTTAAAAATAATAATAATTTGGAGAGAGGGGGTTTACATTTTCCACTTCAAAGGAGGCTGCTGCCTTCCTCAGCAGACACCCATCTTTCAAACCAAGACATTTGTAAACTTCTTTGAAATAGAAAGACATTTTAGAGATAAAATACAACTGCATTCTTTTTCCATTGCCTAATTCCCATCAAAAATATTTCCAGCACTTCCATTTCTAATGGAATGACCTAATGAAACATTTGAAAACAGATGCTTTTCAAATTATCCTCAAACCAAAAGAGCTGGTTTCCTCCAGACTGCATGATGTTGCAAGTCCTAAAAAAAGATTTTCACCAAGCCCCCCTCAGGTAAGCTCACTTCACTCTATGCACATGGCATCATCCAAAAGGAATATAGAAATAAACCTCTATAAATGTCCTTCTGTTCTCCTACTCAAGGTAAACAGACCTTACGTACTTAAGTAATTTGTCCATGTGATTGCACACAATTCTGTGATTATTCAGTGCAAATTGAAAAGTTAGATGTTCATACTTGGTACTGTACTAAGATTGCTAGTGAAAAACCTTTGGGAGGTATACAAAGCCCCTGATAAAAAATAAGGCCTCTCCTTTTGCTGCCACAAATAGGTTCATTTTGTTATTTTGTGAAAGATCAGGCTGGAAGTTTTCACTGTTTAGAAGTTCTCTACTTTGAGACTATATGTAGCTTTATGGCTAATGAAGTAGGAGAGGATGGTGAAAACCAGAATCCCTGATTTCACCCACACAGCACACGCAGTTGGCAATATAGCATCTCTTCAACTGGCTCCCCACATTTCCAAAACTCTGGGCTAGTGACCACCCACAGAAAAAGGTCAAATCAAAGTTATTCAGTTTCATGCCCTTCTAAGTCCTTTCTACTTCTGCTGGTCCTCCACCACAAGTACAAACTGCTTCTTGGTGTGCTGTTGACATTCCATAAATATCTCTTCTGCCTCTTGATCTAAGTCTTCTCAGATCCTTTCATATGGGGCACAAAGGGAAAGACACTCCTCTTTGCTAAGTCTAAAAGTTTCAACATGGGGACTTGCCTTTTCAGACAAATTATAGTTCACAACATTCAGCTTTGAACATTGTCTTTCCTTCTTTTCTAAGAATTCCTGGTGTGCTTAACAAGTCAGAAAGCTGTAACATCACACTGAGATTTGTCCCCTCACTTAATATATGCTCTGTTCACTTACAGCCTTTTCAATATTGTTAAAAGAAAAACTTTATATTTCTATTTTCACACTACCTTGCATCTTTGTCTTGACTCTCCTGTGCTGCCTCCTGTATTTTTTATACATGCCTCCTGCTTCTTTTTCTGCCGGAAAACTCAGCTGTCCTTTAGCTTTCAAAGTCACACAAAGACAAAAAACTAATTTTTAGAATTTTCCTCTCTCCTTGCGGAGGTCCTTTGTCATTCCCCTGTTCCTATTATTAATTTCCCCCTTAGGAATCCAGCATAAAAGATTAAATGCATTTGAAGGAAAATCTTGATAGATGTGAAAAGCTATCTTTCAGCTTGAAGTTATGAAGAAAAATTATTATTATTATTCCACATGCATCCACAAATAGAAAAGGAAATTAAAGCTTCAGTGATTTTGTTTCAAGATTATTCCAATTTCATTTCAGGTGACTGTGTTTTTTGACATCAGGGCATCCTGAGTCAGAGGAGGATCTATACTGAAAGGCTGTTTAATCTAAAGTGTGACAAAGTAAGCACAAAATGTTTATTTCCCTTGGACTTCCCAAGCAGCAAATAGCCTAGCTTACAGCTGAAGTGCAGATAGTATGTTGCAGAGAAAAAATTTTTTTTTTGATGAGTCCATATCAAACAGAAGGGTTTGTCACAGAACTTTCATATTTATTCCATTTTATTTTGTGTTACACCGGTTTCTTCCCCACACTTCCTGCACAAACCCATAAGAGTCTTACACCCACAACATGGGATAAACAGGTGAGAAATCTGTCTTATGACATCAACACATGTACCCGAGGAAGAGAATAACAAGGAAAATGACACAACTAAGCAGCTGGTGCCAGATACCTGCCACCAGAGCTGCTAGGAAGGTCTGCTAGTGGGGAACAAAACACTTCTTGTTACAACATCATAAAAGAGCAATACCCAGAAATTACCTTTCATCAATTGGCTTCAAGGAAAACAAAACAGGAAGAACCTGCAGCACTGCCCATGGAAATAGTTTATAAATACAACAGTATTAGAGTTCTTGTGCTTGTGGGCTCTTAGTAATAAATGGCAGCATACAAGTAAAAGTACACCACACGACATTTATCTCAAACCATTTAATAGGGTTGGTTTTCTTTTACACTATTTCCATTTTTTTCCATCTAAACTGAAAATTCATAATTCACAAAATTAAAACTGGTTACCCCTGTGGGCCTGAAGCACACCCAGTCAAACAAAATGCAGAGGTAAGCAAATTCCAGCAATTGACATAAGGCTGACTGAAGCCTGGCTCTCTAGATTTGCACAGGAAACCTCTGTTGTATTTGGCAGCCACTCTCTTGTGGAGCTCTCAGAATTTTTTTTTGTTGTCTACAGACCTTATTGCTCAACAGAGGAAGAAAATCCAGCCAAAAAAAGTCAGTTGCTGATACCTTTGCTATTTTACTTTGACAGCCTAGATTATTTTGGATATTTCAAAAGCTGCACATCTTTTAGGAGAGGATTATTTAACCTGTAAAATATAACTTTAGTCCTGCTCCTCAGCCCTGGTAATTACTGATTCCAAAGAAGTCAACAACTGCCAAACAAACAATCTGTTTTATAGAGACCCTGAGTGCTTATCAAACTCTGCCTTGCCAGCCAAGTTCTGCAGTTCCTTCTATACCGTCATATAAGAGACCAAACATTTCCAATGGCTTTCTCTCCTCCATGCAGGAGTGCCTGGAAGCACTGCAGTAAAAAAATACCCAGTCTCTGGGGGAAGGGAGGGTCTCAAGTTGCTCAACAGCCAGTCTGCTGGCTGACCAAAGAGAGGATTTTCATGACTCTGGCAGGAGCTCTGTCCAGCCTTTCACAGCCAGTAACCATGAGTTCTCCTAAATTATGACAGCTGCAAGTCTCAGGGGAGAGTGGAAGCCAAATATTTATCCACAAATGTCAAATATCTTTTATATTCATCCCTGAGATGGGAAATACCTGTGTGATATGTGAATCTGACAGATAGAAGTGGGCACATGGCAGAATCTTGGCATGCTGAAATTAAAGGGCATTACCTCCCTAGACACCTCTAACAGCAGCAAAACAGCAGGACACCATACACCAGTCTGTGGACTGTGCTAGGGACAATTTTCTTCAGAGACAGAGGTAATTGTTAGGGAGCATCAATTTACCTCTGATACTGATAAAGAAACTAGTGAAAGATTTGAAATTTGGAAATGGAAAAGAATAGTATGTTAAGCAGGAAAAGTATAGCATATGAAATAGCCATTTTATTTACTTGCAAGGCTTCTTACTGTTACCTCTCACTTCTCTCATTACCACCTTACTAGGTGACTGATATCTCCTTACCTTAAAATGTTGGTAACAAAAATTCCAAACAGCTCTATCATCAAACTAAATGTACTTCAGTACTTATTGGCCAATATTTCCAAGTTACTTAGATAACTTGTATAATCAAACTACTATGGGATGACATAATCAAGAATTCTGTAGTATTAAAGTCTTAGGATCTTCAAAAGAAAAAAGTACTTTCAAAATTAGCTATTTAAATTAAACTGAAACAGTAATATTTGTTCTTTCACAATTTATCAGACACCAAAATATAGAGAGGTGAAGTTATTTTAAAGACCAGCTTCAAAATCACTATCAAGATTCAAATTTCCATTTATCAAGTTTGCCTTTACTCATTCTCACCGTATGCTTACTCCTTCTATTTAGAGATGTTTCAAAACAAAACTTTGAAGAAGTGATTGAAGTGTTTACATTTGGTTTGCCATCAGCTGTTGAGCACTGCTGAGGAAAGTGTCGCACAGCAGAGTCCCTGCAAGGTGCCGGCCCTCCCTTTGACAGCAGCGGATCCAATAGAACACCAGCGTGCTGTTTATGGCAAGGCTGGGTCAGAGCTGAGAGCTCTGAGGGGCACCACGCCTTTGGCGAGCTCCCATTTTCGGGGGTTCTGGACTTCACACACCGAGTTGTCCACATTGCAGTCGTTCCTCCAGCACCCTCTAGTGCCGACGGCGGCTTTGACTGGTTTCTCTAATGGGAATATCATCTCTCCATAAACCAAGCCTCCCCTTCCCGCAGAGCTGCTCTGCCAGCTTGAAAACTATTGATGTGCCAAGCTGCAGGAGCTCCCCACACCCCCACATGTTCCTGCCGCATACTCGGTTCTCATCTCTGTCATGTTAATTTTCCTGACAGCAAATGAGATGTTAATTTTTTTTTGTCACAAAGAAAACAGTGACATTTCCCTTCAAATAAATATATCCCCTGAACTGAAGTCAACGTATGAGTACATTGTGTTAAGTTTACTTAAGCAAATCAGTTGTCAATTATTTGAGTCAGTCACATCACCTCTTAAACGAAGGCATTATTAAACATGCAGCCTTTCTTATCACTGATTTCCTTACAGAAGGCTTCAAGGCATATATTTCAGAACACTCTTCTCTTTGCAGGCACAAGCTGGTTGAGAAAGACACAAAATGGAAAACAAAAAGCCATTCAAGTCCAGCTGTGGAGTTTATGAACAGAACGGATTTTGAAATGTACCAGATCCATTCATTGCCCCATGCTGAAATGCTGGACAACCAGCATCCCAATGTGAAAGCAGAGTGCGGGGGACAGCAAGGCACTGATCACAGTCCCAGGCTCCAGATGGGGATACAGAGCTGGATATTTTATTAAGGAGCAAGGCTGAGATCAAACAGGGTACAGAAAAGTAAGAAACCTGCTGAAAACCAAGTCAAATGTAAAATGTAATTGGCATTTCAAATCAGATATTTGTCCTGCGTTGTACTATTGACTTAATGAGCTGCAGTGGTACTGCAGTGGTACCACATCCTTCCTTAAGGACAGTCATTCTACTTCCTTGAAATCACAACAATGGTTTTTGCTCTTAATCAGTCTTACACTGTATTATTTACATGGAATTTCACAAGTATTGGGACAGTTTAGAAACTTACAGACTATGCAGAGTACATAAACCTAACTAGTAACACTTGTTTAGAAAGAGCTCACCTCTTGGCCTGGAAGAATTTCCTTCTAAATTGGTAACATATTTATTTTTCTATTTTTATTTTCAACATTAAAAATAGATGCCTCAGAACTACATCTGCAGTCTCTCCAATTAGTTTACCTGTAATTACTTACACAGTCACACAGAGAATTCTAAATGCAAACAAATATTTGGCCAATACTATTTGCTATGCTCAGTTCATTGCAATACATTTTTCCAAAATTTGCAAAAATACACCTTGTAGTACTTACATTATAATGATTAATTCCTCCTAATCGACCAGCAACTGAGAACATTAGAATACTTACTGAATCAAGTTACTTCTTAGGGAAAGACAAAAGCAAATTTCTGTAGACAGACAAACCTATGGATTTTGTATACTGGAAATGTAAATTTAAACAAATAAATTAGAAAAAGCATACAAAGCCACCACTTCAAACAAATAAAATCAAACAGCAGGTTAGATTAATTTTGCTCCTTACTCCATTGAATACTACAAACCAGATACTTCCAATATCTTCTACTACCTCAACTTCCAAAAAGTGGTACAAGTAAGTTTTGGTTCTTTATACAGCTGTGCACCAAACTTAAAATATAGGTTATGACAATGAACTAAAAGGCTGAGTGCTTCTAAAAAAAAAAACAAAACAAAAAAACCTGAAGAAAGCTTTTTTTTAAAACACACTGTGCTTGTATTTATTATTTCTTAATAATTCTATATTATTATAAATTATTATTTATTGTTTTCTAATAAATTTATGGCAACCATTTAAACTTTGAATATAAAAGTCTTTTAAACTCTGCCATAAGGACCCAATCTACTTCACAGCAATATTCCATATTTAGAATAGCACTACTAAAAACTTTGGGCAGCGTTACTTGGAATAATTACACTGAGTATCTACAGTTGAAACATATATACAGTTGAAACAACCCTGTATATAATAACTAGCATGTGGTCTTTTGATACTGAAATCACATTAATTGTGGCTGCATTACTGGGTTTTCTGCTGAAGTGGGGGAAGGAAAATAGAATTAATTGTGCTGCTAGAAGCAGAGAAAGCCATGCTGAAAACAGTGGCTGGGTGTGGGGAAATAATGCTCTGCATTGGTGCTGGCAGTATATGATTTATCTTATCTCTCAGTGTTCCTGCTGTATGATATATGTTTGGGGGTAGTCTTGATCTCTACGTGCTTTATCAGCTTCAAAGCTTATGGCAGATTTCCTGAAATGATAAAAATAAACATGCATTACAAAAACATGCACTAAGATGCACAAGGTATTTGCCTTTCTCCTTTATCAAGGGGAAGAATGAGCATACTGAGTTCTGTGTTTTAATGAGACTTGACCACATTTAGTAAACCTGGATGAAAGAGTCCCATTCACATAATAATGTGGATTAAAGGGACTGTATTTTCCTAGAGGCCTTGCTTTTTTCCCCCTTTGATAGAACTCTGGTTTTACTCAGTGCCTGTGGCTCAGAACGTGGACATGACATACTGTCCCTAGTGTCCTAGAGGAGCACTAGGTTGTATCTGCCTTTGGGTTGTAAAATATTCACCAGAATGAGAGCATGACACAGCTGTTATTTAGGCAGCACTTGTAAATTCTGCTCTCAGCTCCGGAGAGAGTGCACTGTTTCATTGCCAAAGCATCTGAGATTTGCGGCCAGATCTCTGGATGCACTGTGCCCTCACACCCATCCCCAGTTCCCTATGACCACAATACTCCACGGTGTGTGCTACTGTCCCTGCACAATCCTCTGTTAACCTCCGAACTAGGATTCGGTCAGCAGGGGAGAGAAGGATGTAGCTTACAGAAGGATGATCACAACTACCCCCTCATAATGCACCTGTCCCTGTCATTGTCTGTGAAGGGCGACTGTTTAAAAATCAAGTACAAGCATACCAGAGATAGCTTCAATCGCGTAAACAGCTGCCAAAACTACACAGCTGTGCAAGAACTGCAATTGCTATTCTGAAGCAGCAGTGAAGGGCGCAGACACCATAAATCACGGTGTACTCCAGACATTCGCGTTGCTTCTGACAGCGGTTTTCCTCCAGATACGAGAACACGATGTGCTCAGTAACTCAGCTAACCCACAGCTCGTCCAAGTCGGCGAACAAGAAGGGTTTTAGCAAAGCCTACCCATCAATTTCTTCTGTTCAGACTTTCTGCATACTTAAACAAGGGAGTTAACGCATTTTTCTCCTCAGACAGGCGCAATTCCAGACCCAGCCAGAGGACTCTCCCTTGCGGCGCCCTGACAGCCCGTGCCAGGCTCTGAGGCCAGCAGGGACAGGAGTGCTCGGGGCGGGAGTGAGAGCGCAGCCCCTCACGGGACAGCCCAGCCCTGCTGAGCGCCCCCGCCGCCTTTCATCCTGGGAATGGCCGGGGAGAGCAGCCGGGGGAGGTTTCAGACGAAAACCCCGGTAGTGGGCACGGGCAGCATCCCCGCAGGCTCCACAGCTCTCCGCACTCACCGGGGCTCTGAGGGGCGCTCGGCAGGGGCACCAATGGAGGGCGGAGCGCCCTGTACACACTACCTGACAGGAGGCTGTGGCCAGGTGAGGGGCGGGCTCTGTTCCACGAAACCGACGGGAGGACACAGTCTCAAGCTATGCCAGCGGGGGTTCATGTTGGACATTGAGAAGAAATTCTTCACAGAAAGAATGGTTGGAAAGAGCTTCCCAGGGAGGTGGCGGAGTCACCGTCCCTGGAGGTGTTTAGGGAGAGTCTGGACGCGGCACAGGGTGCCACGGCCTGAGTGACGGACGAGATGGTTTTGGGGCCGTTCCCCTCCTGCGCCGCCCCAGTGTCTCCGTGAGGGGGCGCGCGCGTGCAGCCCGCCCGCCCTCAGCATGCGGCGGCGGCGGGGCCAATCGGTGCTGGGCGGG